CGCCCCCTTGGTCTGTACTCCCCAAAGCAAAACTGACAAGGTCACTTTAAAATCTAGGGGTTCATTCCAGTAACAGGACTCATAGGAGTGAAAAGACGAAAAACAAAAAAGCAAACACGAGCATTAAATTAGGCTTTTTATAATATGGTTTTCACGTCTCTAGGCTGCAGACAGAACACACCATGCAGATAATTTCAATGAGCAAGGGTTGCTCTGGACAAATGAGAAAGCATTTCTGTGGGACCACTACTGGGGCTAACGGGGCCCCAAGCTGTCACTGCGGAACTCCCGGCAGACGGCCATAAACGAGCCACAATGGGCCTGGGATTAAAGGTGACAAGCAGGACGGGGCGCAGACCCAAGAGCTGAGGCATGTGTGTGTCGCACGAGAAGGCTGACTTGGAGGGAGAGACCCAGCAGCCAATGGCCAATCTACTTCTGAAATAACCACATCATGAGATTAGCAGTGTAGCCCTCAGCTAGCCACTCCCTTCCACAAGGAAAGTCCGTGACAAAGAAAAGCGTGTGAGTGACGCCTTACCGTGCCTCAGGGAAACCCAGCTACTACTGAAAGGAACTGTCCGTCACGGAGCACCACAGGCTGCACCTGCGAGATGCGTGGGTGTCCAGTCCCGCACCGCCTGCCCATCTGCCCCCCCAACCTCCCGGAGAACCAAACAGCTCCAAGAGTCCCAGGTAGGCCCTGGAGTCCTATGGGCTGGTTATGTCCAGATGCTGCCACCCTACTGTGTCTGCTTGGGGAAGTCCTGCTCACCCGTCAACACCTGGCTCCTACAGCCTCCTCCACTGTGAGGCCCTTCCTGACCCTTCATGCCCCGTGACAAGGTAGTTCACTGCTCTGTGCTTTGGGCTCCACAGAACGTGGCTCACTTCTCCACTGCTGACATGAACGTAACCCTTAAAATCTCTCCACACTCACCCAACATACTAGCAAAGCCACATACACAAGTGTACTGCTTCCCATTCAGCAATGGGCATGCGGGCTCTACCTAGTGTAACATATCTCTCTTGTTTTAAAAACTAACCTCTGTATAATCTGACACAAAAAACGAGGTCGTTCCATCATATTCCACAAAATGCTTTGGGAATAATTTAACCCATGTTTCATCTCCATAGAAGATTATTCTCTTCCCGGCAGCCTTTGCCTGCCTTATCACATTGTCTTCCAGCAGCGCCGGAGAATTGAGGTTCCTGACGACATCGCCAAAGCCAGGAAGGCTCCCTGTCATCAACGCCTGCAGGGAGAAACGGTCGAGAATTAGACCTGAGAATCCAAACGTGTCGCCTGAGAAGGGACACCGAAAGCCATCTTACAGATAAAATAGTGTGCACAGGACTGGGGCACCCCAATCCTGGGGCTGATCTTCTTGAGGACCACAGCTGGGCAAAGCGGGAGAAGCTACACACAGATTCTGGGCAGAAGAGCAAACTCAACAATGAAAACTTGACAGTGAATGATCCTTCCAGCTGACAAGAGGATCGAGGAGGCTGCTGCAGGGACAGTGAGGATAGCACAGCCAGAGAGAAAGCATGGGTCAACAGCAGAGAGGAGTACTGATCAATAACAGACTTGAAGCAAATGGCTGAAAGTGTGCCCTGTGCTGAAAACATGAGCTGGTATATCTGGGTTCCCACTTAACTTCAAATCTGCTCCATACGACAAGCAAACTCCACATGCTGACCTTATGACCCAGTGATTCCAATGTCCCACCTTTGAATGAGACAGCAGACTCACACACCCAAGGAGGAAAGTGGTCTCTGAACATAAATTCTCTAGAAGTCTCAAAGTAGACTGGCCCAGAGACGCCAGCTGGACCACCTTCCTGCTCCTCCCCCCAATGTTACACCCTACTTTGAGAGGAGACGGTAACCTTTGATTCCTTACATGATGTGTTCTCATACCTACCTCCTCAACAGAGAATTAAGTCAAGAATCTCATGCTAATAATTCTCAATGCACATCGGGCAGGGCCCTAATTTAAGCATCAAATGTAAAAGGCTGTATGAATGGTTAAAGGATTTCCGTGACCTGGATTTACACAACAACCTACAACACGGGAATCCAGCATTCCATGCAATGAAAATAAACAGGGATCTCGATAATGCCAAACTTCTTTAACAGCAAATATGAATTAGCTAAACATCTAGAGTGCCTAAGTAAGGAGCTCAGCAAATCCTCTCTCCCAAAAGTAACAATAAAATGTAACAATTACAAACATATATGCACCTAACAACAGAGTCCCAAAATACATGAAGCAAAAACTGACCAAACTGTTCAAGCGAAAATAAGCAATAATTAATAATTAGACGTCAATACACACTCAATAATTTACAGAACTAGACGTAAAATCAGCAAGTCTATTGTTGTTGTTCGGTGTCAGCGAGTTGGTTCTCACTCACAGCCTGTGTACAACAGAACGAAACACTGCCAGGTCCTGCACCATCCTCACAATCATTGCTATGTTGAGCCTATTGTTGCAGCCACTGTATCAATTCATCTCATTGAGGGTCATCCTCTTTTTCACTGACCCTCTACTTTACCAAGCATGATGTCCTTCTCCAGGGACTGCTTCCTGCTGACATGTCCAAAGTATACAAGACGAAGTCTCGCCATCCTCACTTCCGAAGAGCACTCTGGCTGTACTTCTTCCAAGACAGACTTGTTCGTTCTTCTGGCAGTCCGTGGTATATTCGGTATTCTTTGCCAATACCGTAATTCAAATGTGTCACTTCTTTCGTCTTCATGTATACATATATATAAAGCATATAGCCAAATCTAATTGACATTTATAAAACTCTCTACCAAAAAATAACGGATTATACATTCTTTTCAAGCACACATAGAACACTCTCCAGAATAAATAATATGCTAGGCCACAAATCTCAGTAAATTTAAAAGGATTGAAATCATTCAAAGTATTTTCTCTGACTACAATAAAATTAAGTTAGAAATAAACAAGAGGAAATTTGGAAAATCCCAAAATACTTAGAAATTAAACAACTCATTTGTAAATAATCCACGGATCAAAGAAGTCACAAAGGAAATTAGAAATTATTTTGAACTGAATTAAAGTTAAAAAAAATATCAAAATTTACAGGATGCAACTAAATAAATGCTTAAAGGGAAAAGTATAACTGTGTGGTGCAGTAATTACAATTACATGATTGGGTGGAAGTATGCAAATAAGGTGCTTGTGGCCCATCAAGGGGAATGGATAGCCTGCTAATAATGCAAATAAGGTACATGGAACCCTTGTGAGGCTGGGGCTATGCAAATAAGGTGTATGAAACCCTAACACAAGGAGACTGGTCAGTTTTGCAATCCCCCTAGGCATAAAGGAAGCCAATCTCAGAGACGGGAAAGGAGACCTCACAACAACCAAGAAGAAGAGCCAGGAGTGGATCCCATCCTTTGGACTTGGGGTCCCTCCATTAAGAACCTCCTAGACCCCGAAGACAGAGAGGGAGCTGTAACACCGGAAATGGCGCAAGACAACACGAAGTGGCAGCAGAGTAACAGTGGAAACAGAACCAGGAGACTGGCGCAAGATGGCACAGTGGGCTTCTGGGCCCATGAAATGAAGTGGCTACAGTGTGCGTGCCAACCCATGGAGCGAGAGAGCTGAATGTCTTTGGGCCAAGTCTTACTGGTTGAGTGGGGGTGCCTCTGGGCTCACGCTGATGGAGCTAAAAAGCTGTAACATTTGCCTGAGCAGGGCAGAGGACAGGCTGAGGTCTGAGGGGCCGAGGGGTCGAGAGCCAAGGGAGAGGCCTGCCCGAGGGCACGGCTGAAAAGAAGCTGTCCTCATCAAACAACTGTATCCTGAGTCATTCCTGATCATGAATCGTAACCCGTTATTTCCCTAATAAATCCCATAATTGTGAGTATGGTCTGTGAGTTTTGTGTGGCCACTATAACGAATTATTGAACCCAGCAGAGAAGCAGAGAGTGCTATGCGATGGAAGGCTGGTGTCAAAACTGGTAAAAAGGTTAGAGAGAGGATGTATGTCTAATTTCCACCTTACAGGAAGCAGCCTTGGGCTGTGATCTTGATTTTCTCTCCTCCTGCTTGTGAAGTCAGACGAGGTCTGACGCCTCCATGCCATTTTTACAAACTGTAAATGCCAAGATTAGAAAAGATGCCAAATCAATAAGCTTCCACCTTAAAAATCTAGACTATAAAGAGCAAACTAAAGCAAGAAGAAGGAAGGAAATACTAAAGATTACAGCAGAAATCAATAAAATAGAAAGCAAAAAAACAATAGAGAAAAATCAATAAAACCAAAAGGAGTTTCTTTGAGAAGGTCAACAAAATTTACAAAACTTCTGTTGCATCAACCAAGAAAATGAGAGAAGACAGAGACCACCAAAATCAGGAATCAAAGAAGAGGACAGTACCACCAACCCTACAAAAGTAAAACAACTTAGATGAAATGGATGGATTCCCAGAAAGACATAAACTATCAAAAGTGACTCAAGAATAAACAGAAAATCTGATAACAAACAGAAACATTGGATTAGTACTTAAAACTCTTCCCACAAAGAAAACTCAGCCCAAATGGCTTTACTGGTGAATTCTTCAAGAAGAAATAATACCAATCCTACACAAACTTCCAGAAAACAGAAGAGGGGGCAACACTTCCAACTCACTCTAAAAGGCCACAATTACCCTGATGTCAGAGCCAGAAGCTGGCAGGTCCAGAAGTTCCAAAGGCACTCAGGGAAACCAAGGAGCTATTCCTGGATGTAACAGTGGACACCCAGTCCACATTCTGATGATTCTAGCGTTAGCTTCTTCCCTGAATCCCAGACGTATACACTTGCTCTTGGATGGCTACCAGGCCATACACAACTGCCTGCTCCCCACATAAGTACACAACAAAAACAAATCAATGAGAAAATGTCACTCCTCCTCTGCTAGGCTTCCCCTTACCAGGAAAAGGTGACACCGGACACTCAGTATGAACTCTCCTTTGGCTCCTCTGCCCCTCAGCCACGTCTGTGAGCAGCCCTGCTGGCTCTCTAAACAGGGCATCTCCAACAATTTGATATAAAGGACCACTTATTTTTTGTTTTGAAACTTCTATCATGGATCGATAGTTTTATTAAATACAATAAAAATTACTAGAAAAATGAAATGACAACAAAAAAACAAAGGCATACAAAATACAAGCCTCAACTTTGCATTATTGGGTTCAATAAAATTACTCCGTCAAGCTGCTAGAAAGTTTTCACATGCTTACTCTCAACTTCTGCACATATCTCTTCCTGCACCATAAACAACCTGAGAGCAGACCAATACCATTTGGCCTGTGGGCTCCATGTGAGTAGCTCTGTTCTAGAATATACCTTGCAGTAATCCACTTCTTTCTACCTCCACTGCTATCACCATGTCTGAGCCACCTCCACCCTTGCCCAAACTACTTCATCATTCTCCTGACTGGCCAGCCATTTCCATCTTGCCTCCCTATAGCCCACTCTCTAGACAGAAGCCAGGGTACTTTTTCAACAATGAAAATTAAATGTCACCTTCTAGCTGAAAACATCATGATAAATGAAGAAATTGAAGTTGTCAATGATTTCATTCTACTTGGATCAACAATAGACATCCATGGAAGCAGCAGTCAAGAAATACAATGATGTACAGCAATTAAGCAAAACTGCTGCAAAAGACCTCTTTAAAGTTCTAAAAAGCAAAGATGTCACTTTGATGACTATGGTCTGTCTGACCCAAACCATGGTCTTCCCAATCGCCTTATATGCATGCAAAAGCTGGACAACGAAAAAAGAAGATAGAGTAAGAATCGATGTGTTCAAATTGTGGTGTTGGCAAAGAATATTGAATATACTATGGACTGCTAGAAGAACACACAAATCAGTCTTGAAAGAAATAAAACCAGAATGCTCCACAGAAGCAAGGATGTCAAGACATCAGCTCACTTACTTTGGATACATCATCTGGAAAGACCAATTACTAGAAAAGGACATCAGACCTGGTAAAGCACAGCGTCAATGAAAAAGAGGGAAACCCTCCGTGAGGTGGACTGACACAATGGTCACCATAGTGGAACCACGACGAACTCAGATATGCCAACGATCATGAAGATGGCACAGGACCAGGCAATGTTTCGTTCTGTTGTACACGGGGTCACCATGAGTGGGAGCTGACTTGACGGCAACGAACAACAACAAAGCTTACAATCTCCAATCTCTTTCCACTGCAATTAAAATAAAA